CATCGATTACTTTCCATTCTTACGTCGATCCGCCAACTCATCGTACGTTAGCGCCATCAACGAGTTATCTGACAACTCAACTTCGTCTGACTCGGACCCTCCTGCATCACTTTGTCAAAAATATTTTTTTCCCATATATTGGGCGAGCAGCCTCCAGCATCCGTCCTAAATCAAATGAATCCGTCCTAGTTCAGATGAATTCTTGGATCCATCATTGACTCGGAGTATTAACTTGTATATTAGTCTAGGCCTTGTCCTAGTCTCAAGGTGAACCTCACTCCAGCCTTGCTCAAAGCTATTTCATATATTCTAATGATTTTTCCACCAAAGACATAGCACGTGAAAATACCAATATTCTAAAGGCGTAATGCGTTACGAGGCATCGATGTCAAGAATCAAGAATCATAAGTTTAGGCATATCAATGCGAAGAATAAGCGCTATAATGTGTTTCGTATTTTTAATATTATTTTAATTATTGTTAAGGTATTAAATATATTTTTATATAAAAAAATAATTTTTTTAATATATCATAAAAAAATTTTATCACAAAAAAAAGGGATTAGGCGGGATAATGCGCCGCCTAGGAGCGCCTAAGGCGGCGCACTATGCCGCCTTTTAGAACAGAAACACATTTTTCGCGCATACCCCGAATTCGACCGTTTTCCACCCGCATAACGCGTAGGCGGCGCATTTTCGCGCATTATAGAACATGGGAAAATACTTTCTACCAATTATGTAATTGCATATGTGAATTTGGTAAAGATGAATAAATATCAGCCGATAGTATTAAGAAACAAAAAGAAGTTCAAATCTTTTGTCCAATACAAAACAGGCATTGGAATTTCGAAATATTTAATTGTATAAACAAGAAATCATCCAATAAACAAGAAAGCTTTCAAGTATGAAATAACCATGAAAAAAATATCATTGCTAACTCAAGGACACGAGATAGCAGACCCTTAAAAACAGGTGCTTGCAGAGCACATCAACCTTCACACTTACACACATAATTGATATCTATTTACACAATAATCTGCCGATGACTTAATTTTTTGACAAATATATGTTACAAGAAGTAAAAGAAGAAACTCACATCCATGTCAACCAGGAATTCATGTTATTATTTTTAAGTTTTCTGTTGATGACAAATGTGCAGTTGCATCGCCCCATTGGAGAGTAAACAAGCAGGAACTCAACAACTCGTGATAAACTCGACCTCTTCTCTGCTACATACCGAATGCATTAGACAATCTCCTGGAGCATGTATCATCTATAGTAACTATCTATGAAGATATTTCCTTTTCTCTTCTAGTTTTCACCACTTTGGATTTGTTCAATTTTTTAGCACCTATCATCTTCTCAGCTGCTCCATAGGACAATTTTCGAGCTTTTGTGGCAGTCTTCCCATTAGGGGAAATTGATGTGACTGAAACTGGTGCTATGATCGTTGGTGAATTCTTGTTTCTGTTATTCTTGCTCGACTGGCAACCAAGTGATTTCTTTGGACTTGACTGCAATGGGACAGCTCGGCTTTCCCAAGGTCGAGCTGCAATCCATCGATCAATCCAGCTCCAGCCCCAATTTGATTTGCCAATGTCATGGTTACTTGACCCAAAGTTCGGGTTGGAGTTGGCTCTCCACTGCAAGAAATGTTTTTTATATTTATACTTGGTTTTATATGATAAATGAATCAAGGAAATATTTCAATGTTTTAAAACCCAGCTAGGATTGCACCGGAAAATGTAGTGGGTAAAGGATCAAAGGATTAACCTGGGTCAAACCAGGGGACAAAAATAAATAACTAAATATATGAAGAGTTATACATGTCAACGTTGAATCGCTCCCAGGAAAAAATATGCAACTGAGACCCACCTGGGCAGGCCGTGACAGTTCATCTGATTCTCAATTTATCGGGCGGTCTGACCAGGTTAGGATGTTTTTAATAAATAACCGGACAGGTTGTTGGGCTGGTTTCCAGTGTTTCTGACCGAAAGCAAGCCAATCCAATTTTCAAAAACAGAAATATTATTTATAATGAGGTACTTGATGAGAAAATGCATATGCCATGGCTCGTTCACGCCGCAATGCTGCTTCTTCTCTCTGATGTATCCTTGCAAGAGCTTCATCCATTGTTTCGGAGCAACCACTCCACTCCACCTGTCAGGAATTACATTAATGGAAGATAGGCATAATTTTTGAACAGCCCAAATCATTAAATTATGTTATCTATTGTAAAACACATCATAAACAATTGCAGTAAAAGAAAGATGTGCTGCAGTCACAATGAAGGACTGTTTTCAAATGATTAAACAAGGTCTAAATGCTAATTGCTATCTCATGAACTACTTCCTTGTCAAATTAGTTCAATTTGTCCAAGGAAATATTAATTCTTGTATAGATAGAGGAAGTTGAACTGATTCTTAAAGAAGTCATATAAACATGTTACGATGAGGATCGAGGACAAATATGGTTTATCTATGTCTCTATCTGGGGTCTTGGTTTTAGTTCTTCTTACTACACATAAGGTACAAGAATGGTACAGAAGATTGCTCAGTTACTTTCTCTTGTATAATTGAACTTCTTAATCTAGTAGAAAAGGGTTTTAAGAAAGTGGTTAAGACTTGAGAATAACGAGTCATATAAACTTTCGAAAATTCACAGGTGGAGCTTAGTTACATTCTTCTGCATCAATTATTTTTTGTTGGTTTCTTTTGTTCCTTTTCCTTGAACATTAACTATAATAACAAGGATGCAACAAAACGTTCAACTAAGTAAGCATCCAGTCTTACCTCTAGGTCATGTAGCTTTAATTCAAGCTTCGATTGACTCTCTAGCTTCTTCTGCCTGAGACGACCTTCTGTTACCATATGCACTCGGCGAGCTCTAATCTGGGCCTGAATCTTGGTCCATGAGTGAAGATGGCCCAAAGTTGTCGATGCTTCCTTTTTAATGGCATCACATTGCAACAGGCTCTGAAACCTTACTGGTGCTTTTAGTCGACAGAAATTTTTCCTTGCCTAAATCACAAGCGGAAGTACAGTTTGAATTGAGAACTCACATATATTTTAAATGAAACAAGAATATCCTAGGTAATACAAAGATAAGTATGAATAAGTAACTTTCTCAGGGATATTAACGCATCAGTTTAACAAGCTGATAAGAAACACTATAGTAAAGAATGATGTGCTTTAATCCATTACAAAATAAGAGAAACTTATACAAGATTAAAAGCAATAGAAAAATTATTCTTTTCTTTTTTATCATAGGATACACAATTAAAGCACAGTTTCACAAATAATTCCACTGGAACTTGTTAATATATAAGAATAAAATTGTAGAATCCTGGAAAATGTACTCATCTATAAAAGTCACACTTCATATTTATAACCTGTCTCTGTGTCTGTTTATGTTTGGTTAAGCTTACTGGATAGAAGCAACAAATGAAGCATGCATATTCCATACCGAGTATGCTCGATATGCATTCTGAATTTGAGTTGCAGCAATGTCCTCAATGTACCAAAACCATCATGATTTTCCTCAGAAACATCATTAGTTAATATTGGAGATTCATTCTACAAGCAATTTTCTTACCAGTGCCCATTTGACACTTCAGGTGTTGAATATATCTGCTTTAATAATTAAAAAGAAAAAAATTTTAAGTTGCAAATCACTAATATGGGTCGTGATGTAACAATGTCAAATAATGAAATATAGGCTGAAAAGAAAAGAAAAAAATATCTTTTGAGGAAACTTCAATCAGAGAGAAATGAATGAAGGCTTCAATTGCATGGGGATCACTAGCAGAATGTGAAAGTAATTAAAAGAAGCAAACCTTCAATTTTTGCGATCTGTCACCTCTCTTCTTTATACTCATTATATTCTTGAACCAAACTCCAGAGCCCATGATCAGATGCTTAATATAGATCACCAGAATACCCTGCAGAGGATATTGAATCTCGTGTAAAAATGACATCACTATTGAGTATTAAATTATGTATTTAAACAATGCTTAATTTGTAAGTATCTTGTGAAATTGTTACTATCATCTATTTTGTGATTTCTAGACAAATGAGACAATCTCACCTTGCGACTAAACCAGCAGCAGGGGACATATTATGAGATGTCCAAGCACAAAGCGAATTCAAATTGCTCTTAAAAATTTTCTTCAATAACCAGACAAGTTAACCAAAATGTTTCTGGTAACCTAAGACCTTACTAACTAAAATAAGTCGATAGAAAACTGTTGAAATTTGGGCCTTCAAATTCTCCAAACCAAGCTCAGATAAACCACCAATCGACAACACAATGAACCAAACCAATGCTCCAAAGCACAACCACCCAATCAACCGGTTGCTCCAATGGTTTCAGCCCACTTAGGGCTATGGTGTGAAGATGAAGAACAACTATCTTTA